CTGAAGTGTGTTGCCATCTAGAAAAGCACCACAGGACAAGACCGACGGAGGAACGAGCCAGTGGCCCCGACCCCGGCTCCACCCTTCAGGGTTTTGGGTTTTGGGGTTTCGGGTTTAGGGCTTAGGGCTTGGGGTTTAGGGTTTAGGGTTTAGGGCCTAGGGCTTAGGGTTTAGGGTTCAGGCTTAGGGTTTAGTGTTTAGGGCTTAGGGTTTAGGGCGTAGGGCTTTGGGCTTAATGATGGTTGCTTGGAGGTCCTTGAGTTCCCACAAGTTGTTTGTACCATTGTACATGTTAAGCCAACCATAGCAAGCTTTAGGCTCTTTAGGGTTCAGTCGAGGGTTCCGTGCTCAGACCAGGAACTTAAGGGCTTTAGGGCTTTGGGGTTAGGTTAAGGAGGCCTGCACGCCTCAAAGGCCTATATGATCCCCAATGGACGCTGACATTCGCACTCTTGACTGCCCTCGACCTTTGAAGCACCCCCCTAAACCCTCAAACCCCTAAGAGCTAGGCCTTTAGGCCGTAACTACTTCACCACCACCACCGAGTCAAGAGTGAAGGCTTGTGATGAAGAGCTTGAGATCGCGGCGCTTGCAGTTCAAATTGACATTACCTGGACCCCAGAAGTATGTAAAGCAATGGCCTTTATGGCCATTATTATGGGTTTAGGGCTATTATTTTACATACTTTTGGGGTTTAGGTAATGAGTGTCTATGAGGTTTCCTAATCACAAAATTGGGGCGTGTTTTTGGCGGTGCCCTTTTGGCTGCTACAATTTACAGCAAAGAACAGTGGTGATGCCAGAGGCACCCCAGCATACAAAGAAAAGCAGGTACATGGCTTGACCCCGAACCACTAACTAAACTCTAAACCCTCAACCCTAAACCGTACTGTATGGTACTCCTTGGTGGCTTGGTCTGAGCTCCACCACGCTCAAACCCCAGACCTTAAACCCAACCCTTAAATCCCATCAGCCCCTGAACTTTAAGTCTTAAAGCCTCAAGCCTGTGTACAGGACAGGGGGCCGCCTTGCCGACAAAGAAGATACGGGCGCACGGCCTCATTCTGCCTTATGTTTTATGTTTAGGGTTTAGGGTTTTAGCCTAGATCGCTTAAGACAGTAGAAAGATACCAACATGTCAGGTACAAAACCTCTTTGGTGGCTGCACTGGTTACAGTATTCTAAGTACTCGCCCTACATACCATGCCAACAGACCCCTTCACAAGCCCAGATTCCATGTGATGCTCCATGCTGTTTTCCAATTGATTCTCCACTTTTTGCTCCTGCTTGGAGGCAAGGGGTCTTGGGGCGGGGCATCGGGGGTTTACACTGCAGAGTCTATGAGTTTTTGTTGTCTTACTTTGTTGAGGTTTAAGGTTTGGCCTTCGATGCCTAAGATGTACGGATTAAGCTTGGATTTGTTTCCGGCTTCAGGTCGCCGGGTTCCGGTTTGGGGTTAGGCTTGAGGGCCCTGGCATTGCAAATCGGCCACACTTCCACCCCAATGCTGGCACTGGTGTGGTACTGCATCGGTCTATTCCTCAGAGACTGATTTTGCATGGCCTGGCGGGGCTGTGCTAGCTGTGAGGCTTTGTTGCTTGGGGCGTTTCCATACCCCCTTCCTCAATCTCTAAATCTGTTTGGGCCTCCCCGCCCACACCCACTAACAGCCCCAAAGAAGCCCTCTAATAAGCCTGGCCTAGGATTCATTTTGTGGTATAAGGTTTACGGATTGGGGTTTAGGGCTTAGGCTTTCGTTTTCGGGGTTGAGGATTCAGGGTTTAGGGTTGCTTCCGTGCAAGGCCCGACATCCTACTAAAGGACCCTGACATGGATCACGGAGGGGATACGAAGAGCACTGGCATTGTCAGAAGATGTTACCGACTAGCCCATTCTAAGCAAGCATAGGCCTGCGATCTGCATTGGGTTTAGGGTTATAGGGTGTAGAAATTTCAGCTCGAAGTTGTACCCTAAACCCTAAAACCCTAGATTTCTCAGAACAGAGGCTCTGCATGGATGAGACCCGTAGGCGACACTCTCACTCTATACCCTCAACCCAAAACTCGAAACCCTGAAGCATTCCAAATCGGGCGCATGATGGGATTGAACAACCCAAAGGGTTCATGTAGGTTTTTGGTACGTGCTTGGGGCCCAAGTGTATATATACTATACAGCTACATACACCCTATTTGGGCAAGCCGCAGCCTTTTGAGGTCCAGCAGTTCCGCTCTATGTATTCCGGGGGCTCGCAGCGCTTTGAGAGGATAGCAGACCAGAGGTCAGAAAAGCCAGCGCATGCACAACTTTTTAGTCCATATAAATCTGCCCTGGACCCAATGCGTGCTTGAAACCTTAAACCTGAATCCTAAACCCTAGAAGGTTTCAGCTTGCACGAGTGCGGGCTACGTATTTGTTGTAACAACCTCCCCCTAAACCCTGGTAAAGCCGGGCCTTTGGGCGTTGGCACCATGGCGATGCCGCTGACCAAGCAGGTCGTTAGCAAGACGCACGTGCTTTGGCAGCTTCCCATAGTATCCAACTTACGGTTTAGAGTTTAGGAGATGCAGAAGACAATGGAAAACCCTAAGGGTCCAAGGACTCAAATGATACGGTTTTAGGGCCCAAATACTAATATAACTGGCATTTGGGCCCTAAAACCCTATCATTTGGGTCCTCGGAACCTTAGGGAAAGGAAAGTTGTAGCTGGTTTTCGATATGAATAAGTTGTTGTCATTCTCCAGGTACCCATACTGTTGATGGATGAAATCTTGTAACGCGTTGTGTACCAGTTGCCCAGCACTAACAGTGTTTTGAGGATTTTCAGTCTAAGTCGCGAAAGATTATACCTGGAACTTGAGCAGGTTCCTATACAGATGCCTTTTGCCCCAAACCGTAAGATCTCAACCCTAAGCCCTAAACCCTAAAATCTAAACCCTAAACCCTTAGGCCCTAAACCCGAAACTTCAGATCCAGATACACACCGTTAGCTATGCTACTTGAAGCCTTGGGGTTGGGTGGGTGCAGGGCTCGCAGCATTTCTCGCCAGCAAGGGTTTCTTAACAGCAACCCAGTGAAGTTCATGCGCCAGGGGTTAGGGTTTAGGAATTTATGTTTAGGACCGAGATGTAGGTGATATGTGGCGAGTTAGGGATCTATGTCTCAGGAGTCTACAGGTTTCATGGGCTGTTTACCCTAGACCCCTAAACCCTAGACAGACCCTGTAAAGGTCCGATGGTGGCCACATAATGACTTGTAGCTGTACATGTCACCCAATTACCACCATGTTAGGGGGCTTAAGAGGCTTAGCATTGATTTGAAAGTACAGCTCCAAGTACGTTGCGATGGCCTATGCACACCCTCAGCCCGACTTCCTAAACTTTACAGCCAAACCTCTAAGTGGCAAGTAGACAAACCATAAAGCCTAAATCCTAAACCCTACAGCCTAACCTCCAAGTAGCAAGTAGGGTCGAGTGGGAGCTAGCGTCCAGAGCAAGGACACAAAGTCCAGGGAAGGATGCGGAGCTAGTCCAGTAGGCTGCAGGTACCTATAATATCAGATACGGCATATTGTAATTTAGTGGAGTCCCCAATATATAGTCCCTAACAAGGAACCCATGTCCAGTTATTTTCTGTGTAATATTGACTGTAGCTCATATGGGATAAACCTGGCACCTCGAAGGTTCCTATACGCAGGTGTTGTATGGTAGTTTCCCTAAATAGGGGAAGCCCATAATAGACCCCAATATATTACAATGACGCGCGATTACCCTCAAGCCTGAACCCAAAACCTTAAATCTTAAACGCTAAATATTATGGGATCCCGGGGGGGTGCGGGGGGGGAGATGAGGAAGTACTGTATCCTTAGTGGGTGTAAGTAGCCAACTTTAAGGGGTATGAAAAGCCATTCAAGATAGGTAGTGTTAGGGGCTGAGGTATCCAATACCTTCTCAGGCTGTAATATCCTAACCCTAAACCCTAAACCCTAAACCACAAAACCCTAAACCCTAAGCCCTTAAGCCATTTAACCCTAAAACCGCCCCATTACTTGAGCACTTTCACCCGTAGGGTTAGGAGGCATTGCCTCGAACAGAAGCTAAATCCCTAAGGGTCCAAGGACCCAAATAATAGGGTCCCTTTTAAGGGGTTATACGGGGTATATCTGGGGGATGTATGGGGGTTATATAGAACCCAAATAGTTAATAGGGGTTTAGGGCCCAAATACCAATAATATTATAGTATATGGGCCCTAAAACCCTGTTATTTGGGTCCTTGGATCCTTAGGGAATTGTTTGCCATAAGAGACCGTATAAATTGCGGGACGTACTTGGAATGAGGGTGGGGGGTGTTTAACATGAGCGTGAAAGGCGTAGTCTACTTAGGGGTTCATGGTTAGCCGAACACATCTAGAATTTTATGTCCAGATCAGGGAACCTAGTGCGCTCAGAACCGGGTTATCAACACCATTTGAGGTAGGCAAGAACTACTAAACCCTTACTATTCCCCACATATCCCTAAACCCCAAACCTTTCCTACAATCTCCATTTTCCATTTTAGGTTCCATATGATCCTCCATTATAAGGGACCGCCCTGAACCCTTCGCCGTGGAGCCCTGTGTGTAGGCACCCTAAACCCCATGGAGTTTAGGGTTTAGGGTGGTACCGGTACCTCAATGGTGCAAGAGCTCCCGCCCATCAACTACAGAGGGCGAGGATCAGCTCAAAAGCCTTGCAAAGCCAGAGTAGCATAGGGTTTTTAAGGTGCAGGGATACTAGAGCCTGAAAAAGAAAGAGTAAGCTGCTTAGCTCTTTTTGGTTCTAGTATTTCCAAGGCAGAACATATGGTAGTTTCCCGAAATAGGGGGACCCCAATGTAAACCCCAAAATACTACAATCCTTACTATTGGGACCCCCAAAATGGTACCCCTATTTTTGGGAAACTACCATATTTATTCACCTGGTTCAATCATAGTCACCTGGACACGAGAGGGTTTTGCCAACCCAGGAGACGACAGAACTCCAGTGACCCGGCTGAGACCTAGTAATGCCTACCTGGACCCAAAAAGTATGTAAAATAATGGCCTTTATGGCTTTTATTAGGGGTTTAGGGCCATTATTTTACATACTTTTGGGGTTTAGGTAGTCTGGATGGGATTGAGGGGTTTGGGGTGTAGGGATTTGGTTATAAACACCATAACGCCTCCTTGCAATTGCCAGGCTCAAGTTGGAGTACACGCAATTGTTTTTGTTCCTGATTGGGTTCTATGGTAGCAGAACTTTGTAAAGAAAATGTTCTTCTTTTGCGTAGCTTACATGTTAGAGCGGAAGTATAATTGGAACCCACCAGAGACCATCATGTTGACAACCCCGCATATCGCTTTTCATGCCGAGGGTGGTCTCTTTCGGGTTTCTGGCACCCTAACCCCGAAACTCTGAACCCTAAAAACTAAACCTTAACCGAGTTCTGAGGGTAACTTTCCATCTCAACGGTTAACACCCTAAACCCTGGCAGGGTTTAGGGTTGAACCCCCTTTCATCCAATAGAACTATGTCAGGGCTTGTATGCTACGGATAGGGAGGTCTAATGTGAGGTTTAGGTGTCTAGTCTAGGGTCCTGAATAATTGCCAACATTGCTTGCTCGTAGTTATTGCACAGCATAGTATGCTATAACTCCAGAGCCCCTGCACATCCTGTGTCTGGGGGACCCACCGCTCGCGGTTTAGGGTTTAGGAGCATGGGGTTTAGGGTTTAGGTCCTAGGGGTATGGGATTTAGGGTTTAGGTTTGAGGTTTTGGTGGGTTTGGAGTTTAGGGGTTTAGGTCCCAGGAGTGTGGGGTTTAGAGTTTAGGGTTTAAGTTGGTTTTTGGTGGGTTTAGGATTTAGGTCCTAGGGGCATGGGATCTAGAGTTTAGGGTTTAGTTTCGAGGTTTGTGGTGGGGCAAGGCTTGTGCCATGGGTGCTGGTTGAGGAATCAGCTCATACTGGAGGCCTGGCATGATAATCATTAGAGATGATCGGAGTCCCAATAGGAGGTTTAGGATTGATGAGTTTAGGGTGTAAGGTCTAAGGTTTAGGGTGTAGAATGTAGGGTTTAAGATGTAGTGTTTTGGGTTTAAGTTTAGGGTTGAGGGTTTAGGATGTACGGTTTAGGGTTTAAGGTCTGAGGTTTAGGGTTTTAGGGTTTTACGCTTCAGGCTTCAAGGAATCCCTGGATGTCCCTAGCTAGAGCGCTATCGTCTGCTACGAGACACGAGGCCAGCTCCACCCCCCTAAGCCTGTTGGGACCCATTGAAGATTTCATAAGGCGCCTAGCCCCAGTAAACCCCGAAACCCGCAATCTGATGTCCTAGATGTTGAACCGTGGATGCACTGCCCAAGTCCAAATCCTAGATCCCTACTCCCTGCACCCGGACGCCTTAAACCCTAAGCGCTAAGTCTGCAGCCCCACATCCTATAAGTCCTACGTCCTTTACAAGCCAGAGACCACAACTCCTGAATCCTAAAACGCTAAAACACTAATCCAACATCCGCAGCCACAACCTGCTCGCAGATTCCCCTGCTACCCTCCTGTACTACCCCTCTAGGTTCCCCCATGATCCAGGTCATCTGAGGAGAACCAGTGCTATTTAAAGGGGAACGGAACTCAGGGGGGTACTTGGAGGTGCGTGGGGCTGCATAACTGCTTATAACTTAGTTTACCCTAAGGGTCCACGGACTCGAATAATAGGGTTTTAGGGCCCAAATACTATAATCTGAATGGTATTTGGGACCTAAAGCCCTAATATTTGGGTCCTTGGACCCTTAGGGTTATAAGCCTGCATATAATCGGGGTAACCCCTAGAAGGCCATCTAGGAGGATTAGGAGTAGGGTTACAGTTTGTAGTGGTTGCTCCTTCAACCCTAAACCCTAGACCGTGAGCCCGGAACCCCTCAACCCTAAACCTTAAGCCTTGAACCTAAGTCCTTTGAGCCTCCCAGCTTGGGCACTGCCCCCCCTCAGTAACAGTTGGATACTAACTATAATATGGTTATATAGCTCTTAATAGGACCCCTAATATAGACTGTTACTGGGTGGGGGCAGTACCCAAGGTTTAGGGTTTAGAGCTTGGGGTTTAGGGCTTGGGTTTTTTCATGAGAATCAGAGTTGGGATGACATGGCGGTTCCAGCTTGGAGGTTTCCAAGAATAATGGTATCCTTCTTTCGGGAGCCGGTATTACACAACAGACAATTTCTTGACATTGGTCGTAGCACGAAGTGTTTGTGGCTTTGACCGTGTTGTTCCTATGGTGCAACCAGTGAGCATGGCCTTTGATGACATGAATAATGAGGAAGGGTTAGGCTTTAGGGGTTAAATAGATCCCAACAACTGTTACTGGGTGGGGGCCGTACCCAACTCCCAGCAATCAATAACCCATGAGATTCTCAAGGTGTGAGCTACAGGCGATCATGGAGGAAAAGTTGCTCCCAGCCGCTTGTCTCGGCCAGGGTTTTGGGGTTTTGGGTTTAGGGTGCCAATATAGTGCCATTATACAATAGGAGGAGATGTTCCTTGTTAGCGGGGGGTGGGGGGGTTTTCTGATATAATGTACCCTAGGGCTCCAAGTCTGTAGATGATGCCTTCGTTGGGCCCTGAGGCATTTAGATATTACCTACATGTTTGTTGCGACCCTTAGGGTAATGCAGGAGCCCAAGATAGTGGAGTGGATTCTACTAGTTCTATGCAAGGCTTGTCAGGGCTTGAGGGTCTGTTGGTCTCAGCTGAGGTTTTGGGGCTTAGGCCATCAGGGTTTAGGAATTAGGAATCTATTCAAAATCTTAAGCCGTAAGCCCTAACTATACACCCTAAACCCTGAAATTCAAACAGCACTTGTTTAATTGCAGACGCTATCGCGCGCCCGCCTCGGCTGTGGAGCACGCGAATAGGTCATGGCATGTAGTTGACACGTGGGGTTTACGGGCGGGGGAGTGACGGAGGCAAGCCTCACTTCAGACGTGTTTGTTGCATGCCTGTTCCAGCATTCATGGAAGAGGTTTAGACCATCAGCCTTTAGTGAGGGAGTTCGTAAGCTTTGAGAGCCGTTGAACCGGCCTCAAAAAGCAGGGCTGGTTCCAAGCTGTTACTCCCCAGATCCTGAATTTTTCCAAGACCAAACAAGGGGGCAGACCTGCCACACAGGAGGCGGAGGGGCCGGAGGGGGGGGGGAGGGGGAGGGGGAAGGGCAGGGGGGGAGGGCGGTCCCACGACTTAAAGTGGCAGGCAGAGGTGGAGTAGAGGGTACACTACCCACTCACCCCTCAAGAGGCTTTGTATATCGTTGGGAGAAGGGATTATCCTAAACCCTAGATCCCTAAACTCTGACCCCTAAACCCGAAACCTTAAACCCGAGCCCCTAAGCCCGAAACCCAAGACCCTAAGCCCGAAACCCTAAACCCAAGACCCTAAACCTTAAACCCGAGACCCTAAACCCTAAGCCCTTGAGCGCCTGGGTTGAGAGAGTTAGGGGTTTACGGCCTTAAAGCTTAGGTTTTTACGGTTTAGGGGCTTACAGCCTAGATTTTCCAGCTCGGAGCTTTTTAGTGCTTGTGGTTCTGAGTTTGTAGGGTGTGGGTTTTGGGGATTCAGAAGGGTGAGAATCTCACACGGTGCAAGCCTAGACCCTGAAGCCTGAATCTACAGGCATCGCAAGAGTGTGTAATCTCTAGCAGCTAGCGCAACTGACCTATGGTGGATGACTTTAAATGGCGTACAATTTATACTTCGAGAATTCTGGTGCTTAGAAAGGTCATGCAAGATTTCAGTGTTGACAGTAGGTCCTGGAAATTTGGGGTCCACTCACCCTCTGAAACCTGAATCCCGCTGTTCGCGGATTGTTCCCAGCATGTGTGCCTACTCTAACCCTTAAACTGTACGCCTACAAAGAATATCCACCTTGGACCCTGCAGTCTACAGGGCCACATGGCGCCTTCACCTCAAACCCCAAAGCCTTGAACCCTAACCTTAAACCTTAAATTTTTGCACCCGAAGCCTTAAATCCTAAATCCCAAAACCCGAAACCTAAGAATCTTTACCTTAACCCCAAGTTCTAGACCCTCAACCATGCCAAGCAGTTTTTTTTTTGTGCCAGGGCTCCAAGGGCAAGCACAGAATCCTGAAGCTTGAAGCGGAAGCTTCCAAACATTGGGGTACACCCTTGGCTTTAGGCCCCAATAATGGACAACACAATAGAAAAGAATGTGGTAAATGAAGCGAACCTGAGCTTAGGGTTTAAGGATATGTATTTGGCTCCCATTCCCAAGCCCTGATGCCAACTTGGAGTATCTTGCACTCAAAACCCTATAACATAGGTGGCTGCTCTTGGGGCTGTCTACCCCCCAGTGTGATATAAATACCTTAAACCCTAAACCTTACAGGGCTAAGGCGTGGTTGTATGCCCCACATAAGCTATAGTCTGGATTCCTCAACGGGGTTGCATAGGGGATTTTCTAGGGGAGCATTGTAAAGCCTAAAGCCCACTTTGAACCCTAAATCCACTTTATATCCTGAACCCTAAAGCACTGGACACTGACCCTCGGGATGCATCCGGTTCATCTCTCTTGGCGTGCGGCACACAGATGTGGACTTTCCAGAAATTCCGGGGTCCCCCACCCCCCGAAATTGGCTTTGGAAAGGCTTAGGGTTTAGGGTTTAGGGTACGTAGGGTATAGTCTAAACTCCAAGTAATACCCTTAAGAAGAGTTTAAAGTGGGCCAACATATTCACCCGGAGAAGAAGACTTCAGTTTCGCAATCACACCTTACAGGTTGTTAGTGGGAAAGAAGGAATGTACATATTTTGGACATAATATCGGGGCTGCTATATGGATCCTATCCTCTATTCCCTACTCACAGCCACTGGGCAGAAAGCTTTTCTTTAGGAGGGTCCCCTAAATCGCACCCCAAAACCCTAAGTCTTAAAGCCCAACCCCTAAACCACTCAACCTCAAACCCTAAACCCTAAACCCCCACACCTCAAACCCTAAACCCCAAACCCTAAACCCTAATCCTAAACCTTAAACCTTAAACCTGAACCCTAAAATTCTAAACCCTAAACCTTACATAAACCCTAATCTCCTAACCGTTTCAAGGCGTGCGGCGCCATGGAGGCAGCCTTGGAGAGACTGGCGCCTCGGTCTTTCTACCACCTGGTTTTAGGGGTTTAGGGCTTGAATTGTTTAGGGGTTTAGGGTTTAGGGATTAGGGTTAAGGGGTTTACCTGAACCCCCAAAAGTATGTAAAATAATTGCCTTCATGGCTGTTACTTGGGTTTAGGGCTATTATTTTAGATACTTTTAGTAAACTAATGGCCTTCATGGTTGTTATTATGGGTTTCGGGCTATTTTTTTACATAGTTTTGGGTTTAAGGTAGTGCTTAAGGGGAGCGGGGGAGCGTCTATAGGGAGTTTAAGGTTAAGGGTTTAGGGTTTGAGGTTTAGGTTTTAGGGGTTTAGGGGTTTAGGGGTTTAGGGGTTTGGGGTTTAGGGTTTAGGGTTTAGGGTTAGGGGTTTGGGGTGAATATAGGTACCATGATAGGGGTAAATGTGGGGATTATACAGGGAGTATTAAAGGGTTCAGCACCAGCAAGTAAATGACTGGGATCTTGCCCTGTGGGCCCAACAGAGGATTCAGGGTTCTGGGTTTGGGGTTTAGAGTATGGGTTTGGGTTTGGGGTCTGCGTTTTAGGGTTTGGGGTTTAGGTTTGGGGTGCAAGGTTTCAGGTTTAGAGCTTAGGCTGCGCCACTCAAGATCCCCTATCTAGCGCAATCATTGGGGTATAGGGTATACAAGGTGGTAAATTGTTCGTATGCTTTCCCAAAACGTGGTCTCAATTGATTGATACTTAGACCCTTACCCTACATATCCCTATATATTGCCTTATACTCCTCTATATTTACCCCTCTAACCTGACCCAATTATTTGGTACTCGGACCCTTGTTGTTTAGCAAGTTTATAGCATCTATTCAAGGTTGAGGTTTTCAGAGTCTACTGAGAGTGTCCCATGTTGTGCCTCGAAGTTGGAATCCAATTTGGGATTTCGCGTAGGGAATATATACATGAACTGTGCCGAAGATCCAAATACTCAATCTCTATATACTTACACAAGACCTATGCTACAATTACGAGCGCCCAAATCCTGAGTGCTCAATTATTATTGGGCACTTGGACCTTAAAGGCCTAATTGAAAATCTGGCCATGTATCCTACATTGCTCTACCTACCTATTGAGCTATATGGGCCCCGAGCCTTTTCAGGTTCATGTAGTACCCAAGGTATAGGCTCTTCCGGGGGTTTAGGGTTTTGTGCGGGCTTTCTGGGATCTTGTTTTTGGTCGTTCTACTGCTCGCCCCAAAAAATGGTTCCAGCATGATTTCGGCCTCACTCTGTAGATCTGGCGTCGACGACTTTCTCAACCACATGAGCTATAGTCTTAACTCCTAGTATTCCCCTGAATAAGCCCTTACTCCTCCGTTGTATGATCCTGTATAGAATCCCCTTCAAGGAGTGTAGACCCTAGCTCACATAGACACTCTGGCAGGCCATGCGGCTCGGAAATTAAATTTGGTTTATCCTACATGAACGAGCATCCGGTCTGTGGCTAGGATGGCTACCTGAGACCCCATGCGATGTCCCCAAAACTACGGTGGATGCTAGAGATCCTGCATGACCCTAAGTACCCTGTACCTTGGGAATTACAGGATTATGGCATACTGAGGTCATGAGGGATTTTTACTTCTTCGCCTCGCCATCTGCCCTTAGATACAGGATGTAGTCAGTTGTTCTCATCATGATGATCATCATGTTCACGCGCGCTTTTAACCTAGAATTCCCAAGCAAAGCCCTCAAGGTGCATTGTGGTCTCATGTGGACGCCTGCACATGTAGTAACATCGCTCCCTGATAGGCCTTATCTGCAACCCGTTTAAAGCGTAGTCCAACATACCCCCAAAGTTCTGTCCTTTTTTTCGACCCCTCCATTCGGCTTTCAGTTGGGGTCTTGAGTTTCGGGTCGCTAACCAGAACCCTAAGGGTCCAAGTACCTAATCATCATATACTTGCCCAAAACCTGTGCAATAATGACTATTACCCAAAACCCAAGTCCTTTGTTATTGGGTATTTGGACCCTCTGGGGAAGCTCCAACTTCGCACTGAGGAGCACGGCGACTATGATGAACTTTGGAGATCCAAGAAGCTTCAGGCAGTCTTTTGCTTGCCAGCATCCTTTATCCAAACCTTGAACCCAAAGCCCCCATACCATAAGCCCTAAACCTTAATCCCTTGATTTAGGGTAGGGCCCTCCAGCGTTTGCAAGCTGCCATCAAAAAGTTTAGGTGCTTTCTGCTGGAATTCTGCAGGTGCAGCCTAAAGGAAGCCAAGCATGGGAGTTGACTGCACTGCTTGTTTCATACCTCATTCCAACGATTAAGCCCTAAACCCACCGAGCCCCCAAAGGGGCCAATCCTCTCTTAGGGGTTTCCGGCTACTGTTTTACCTACTTTCGTTGTCTAGGTCTATACTCTTGATCCCTTGCCCCCCTAGTATCAAATACAGGTTCCCAAGAGTTCCAAATTCTGAACGCCACCCGCAAGACGACTTTTAAAAGGGTCAAGACTAGAGTTAATTACGGCTCGGATCCTNNTAGGGGGGTCCCTAGCATGGCTCTTTGGGAGTAGGGATATCCTTGATTCCTGTTTTCGATCGGTTCTTATATCGTCAAGGAAGTTATCTAGACCCTGAATGCGATTTGAATTGGGTTTCTGGCGATGTTAAATCATTTCAAATTAGCATGTGGCTAGATTTTACGCAAATATCTATTGGTTTTGGTCAAGACTTAGTTCATGAGAACTTAGATATAGGTTCTGAGGGGTTTGAATTACGTGTTTGAATTAATTTGAAGTTGGTTCTATCAAGGTTTTCATAGTCTTCAATGGCTTCTACATTGGTTTCAATTGACTTTATTACCTTTTGATTTATGATTTTGAGTCGATTTAGTCGATTTTATTCGGCGTAACCGCGTTTTCTATGATTTGCATGTTCATTAGATTTCATTAGATTTCATTAGGGCCCTATGATATACACCTTCCCGNNCCTAATATGGCCCTAATTTGAAATAATTAGATATATTTCTATACCATTGTGATCAGATTTCTATTTACCCCTCCCCCCCCCGGCGTAATGTTCGGGTCGTACGATAAATATTCCCCCTAGTATTAAACACGGTTCGGAGCATGTACATAAGGGGGCCGAGCCCTATAATATTTGGTAGAAAGGATGATTACATAGCCTCCAACTTTTCAGAAAACGACTTTGTTCACCTCCCTCAAAAACTGACACCCCGGGTGGAGCTTGATTGATGGGGCCAGGGGCATGATTTGGGCTTAGGGTTTCGGGTTCAGTCTCAGGACAAAAAGGAGGCCTCAGCCTAAAAAGTAAACCCCTGACTGGTTGAAATGCTCAACATGCTCAACTGTTACAGCAGACCTGAACTCGGACCTCCAAAGGGATGTAGAAGAATAGTTTTTCTGGGGAGTGGGTGGGTTTTGACAATTTTACCTACTTGTGGGTTCCTGGCAGTCTTCATAGGTCCTTCCCTGTTTTGAGTTCAGTGCTACTTCGTGGCGCGCTCTACAACTGCTATTTCCCGCATCCCAGGTAAGCAACAGATTCTTCGGTACTCGGGCCCTTTGGGTTTCTTCTTGGGGCTTAGGAAGTTGGGGTCCAGGCATGCCCTTATAGCTCCCAAGCCAGTGAACTCTACAGTTTAGTGTTCGGCTTGTGGAATTTATGGTTCCCCTAAGGGTCCAAGTACCTAATTCAATAATCATATACTTGCCCAAAACCTGTGCTATAATGACTATTACCCAAAACCTAAGTCCTTTGTTATTGGGTACTTGGACCCTCTGGGTTTAGGAGTTCAGGTACCAAACCCCAGGGATGCATGGCATTTCGTAGGCAGTCTAGGAGACCTTGCGAGGATTCTATAGTGATGACTTTGAGAACTGAAAGGTTGCAAAGTTGTGGTGGGTGCTTCTATACCAAGCCCAGAGGGTCCAAGTACCCAATAACCAAGGACTTGGGTTTCGGGTAATAGTCATTATAGTAATTACAGGTTTTGGGCAAGTATATGATTATTATAGGTACTTGGACACCTAGGGAAAAGCATGAGCACTTGCTTTCCGACCAGACAAGATGCCACAAATCATCTGAGTATGAACATGTCTACCCAAAACCTTCAAATAGGTAAAACAATGACCCAAAACCCCTTGAAACTGTCAAAAGTGCCGTTATTGTACATACATTTGGGCTCCAGGTAGGTGTTTCGTTTGCGGTTGCAGAAGTCTGAAGAACAACCGCACGCTTTTAGCACAAGAGCCTCGACCCCGAACCTCCCGAACTCAAGCTCACAACAGCCCCATATTCCCTTTGCAGTCGCCATCGATTCCTCTAAGTCGTCCCTTAAACCTAAACCCTCAGCCCTAATTTTTTGGGGTCTTTATTGGGTCCCCTGTTTGTGCAAACTACCGAATGGTGGACCGAGGCAAAACCTCGAACCTAGGTAAGGTTACAGGGTTCCGGCTTTAGGGGTTGAGGGTTTGATTAGGGCTACAGGGTTTACGCTTTCGGGTTTAGGGTCTAGGGTTTCGGGTTGAGGTTATGGGGTTTAGAGTTAGGGTTTAGGTCATATAGGGTTCAGGGCCCCGCAGCATTTTGAAATTAATTTTGCCTATAGGTGACACCCACCTAGATCACCAAGCAATACCCGGAAGCCATAACTTCCATGGTTCCTGGGTTGTACCCCCAAGGCCGTACCCCTAAAGATGTGCCCAATATAGCATATAGCCCTTGCATGAGCCCATGTAGACCCCTAAAGTCCCTTACAAGGATCCCCAATCCCATGGGTACAACCCTACGAGTACCAAGCCTGAAACCCTTGATATCTAGATCTGCGCATCCTAGTCCAAGCCCTGAGACCGAACCCTTTCCCTAAACCCTAAACCCTAAACCCTAAACTACGCCCTGCACCTTAAACCCGAACACTTCCACCAGGAGCCGGTTGCCCAGGTGCTCTCTACACTGGGCATCTTGTCACTGACGTCAGCTAGTTGGTGGTTCTTAAGGGACGTGTGGGAGTACATATAGGCACCTTTCTACCCTAAAGCCTCAGCCCTAAACCCCTACAACTGTAATCCCTAAACGCTAAGGTCTTGAGGGGTAGGGCCCTAAGACCCCCTAAACCCTAAACCCTTAGACCCCTAAGCTCTAAATCCTGAGCCGTGAACTTTGGCATGTCAGGCGTGGGGTCTCTGATTATGAGGCCCTGACTGGTCTGAACTATATTCAACAGGTCCATGTAACCAAGAATAGGGTACATGGGATTTTAGTATTAGATTCGGTTAAATTTGAAGGTATGCAGGGGGATATATAAAGGGGTATGCACGGATGTAGAATGTTTAGGGTTTAGGGTCCATGCCCATCATTCGGTACTTAGGGTTTTGGTAGTGGTAATTGTGCTACAGGTTTTGGGGAAGTATATGTCCCTTGTGGATTGGTTACTTCCCGGTGCTGAGCAGGGGATGCGGGAGGAATCACCGTAAGATTCTCTTAACATCCGCCCATTTATCCTAATGATGGTATCTAGATTTATTCCCCGGCTCCCCCTAAAGCCCTAAACCTTAAGCCCTAAACTCAAGACCCTAAATCCTAAAGCCCTAAACCTTAAATCCCTAAACCCCAAAACCTTAAATCCTAGACCCCAAAACCCTACATCCCTAAACCCCAAAACCCTAAACCCCAAAACCCTACATCCCTAAACCCCAAAACCCTAAACCTTAAGCCCTAAATCCTGAACCAGTAAGATGAATGGCTCAGGGTTGCCGTTTTCGGGTTTCAGCCCTCTGCCCCTTCTAGAAGTGCCAGAAAGTAACAGAACATGGGGATAACTCGGTTTAGGGTTTAGGTTTTAGCCCTTGAAGGTTATATATGGGTTCAGGGTTAGACATTGGGTTCAGGGATTAGGGTGTGGGGTCTACACTCCTTAAAGGGCGGCTTTTCGAGGATTCTATAGGGGACTTCTATATAGGGGTTATTGAGGGGGATGCTAGGAGTTTAGACTATAGCTCATATGTTAACTTCCCAAAATACAGGGACCCCAATATAGAGCCCAAAATGTTGTAATCCTGATTATTATGGGGACCCCAAAAAGGTAGCCCTAGTTTTCGGAAACCCCCCATATGAGGGTTAGGCGATTTGGTCCTTGTACTACATGTCATGTCAGGGTGCGGAATCATGCCGCTTCCTTTGGTTGGAATCTAAATATGTTTTGTAATTAGTTGTTGTTTTATTTTTATTTTTTATTTTTCTTTTTTTTTTTGGGGGGGG